AAAATAAATGATTACATAATTACCAAGAAGGAAAAAACAATTAAATTGACAAATTATTTTCTTTTTATCTGTTATACTATACAAAGTGCATTTATATTCTTACTCCAAGTCCATTGTGTTGCAGAAAAGATAATCGGGAGCTGACACTACGGTTTGGGTTCACGCCAAATAAATACTAGACTACCTGCCAGTAACTAATACCTTGGAGTTATTTACTCAGTAAACTCGACTCTATTGTAAGGGCAAGAGGTGAGAAGTACTGATACTTTCAATAAAATAGATTGCTGCTAAAGTGTTATTCCCTTAAATGGGAGTGTATCTGTGATTATAGTTCATTGAGTGACTGAATATTAAAGTGACATTTTTGTTTTGTTATGAATGATTTAATGATCGCCTTTCCATTTATTCCATTAGAATAGTACTTAGATATGCTGTATACACACTAGGCCTTAATAATCAATAATCAAATATTGTAATTTTACTCAAATAAATAAAACGTTTTTCGTATTTATGATCGCGTTATTAATAAGACAACGCCATCTAGTTGTGAACGAAAACACTAAAACATGTACTTGAAACATTCTTGGCTCTGAAACAATGCAAGCCAATGCAAACCTTATCTGTTGTTTTCTTAGGTGAGCGTTGTTTCTCAACATAGGACTTTTTTTTTAAGTTACTAGAGCTATGCTATGCATACATTAGTTAAAACTAACTGGAACTAAACATTAATACTTAAAAAAGTGTATGAAATGTTAGATAAGTCTTTATTGTAAGGAGGAGCGCGCCATCTATTTGTTTCATTAAGAATATAAATATTTTGTATCAAGTGCAAACTACATATGAGACTGAACAAATATTTCCTAAGTACATGTAATTTGTTTGTACTTGCATGACCCTTTTTCGATGTTTTTTTTTATACCACGACGGTGGCAAAATAGCACACGGCCCACCTGATGGTAAGCGGTTACCGTGGCCTATGTACGCCTGCAACACTTGGGGCATTACATGCGTCTTGCCGACCCTTGAAGTGTACACTACAGAAGTGTAAGTGTACACTTATACAGACAATAAAATTCCGTAGGTTCGCTATAAGGACCGTATAAGTTCTACAATCTATGAAATGAATGAATGTGAATAGGTACATAAAACTTTTTTTGAAATTGCTTTTTTGACTTCATTTTACATCAGGTGCAATTATTACTCCGATCTATTTATCTGAACTTAAAAGAAGCCTGTCTGCCGCCGCAAGAAAATCGATGTCAATAGCGCAGGTACAAAGAAGATTGCTTGATTGGACGATACAAAACCTAATAGATAAATTACGGTAATCGTTGTTTGTAGAGGTATAATAGATACAACCATTTGAAAACAAACAAACAGCGAAAGTGCATCGATTGAACCATTTTGTATGTAATGTTTAATTATATAATGATCCAATCAACGTAGTTTAATCAAAATGATCCAATCAATTTATTTTAATCGAAATGATCCAATCTATTGTTTTACTTTCTTGATTGCCTTTATTACGTCTATATAGATTATGTGTGTAATTTTTTTTAAGGGGTGATAATCATCGAATGACTGCTCCCGCCTGGGTGAGGCGGGAGGGAGTGTCAGACTCTTACTGACTAAAAACTACCCCGTTCCTTCTCCTGCATGTCGAACCCGGAGCCCTAATTTCCCGTTAGGTTCTCCGCGACTCCGAATCGGCATCGACCCAGTTGGGCCCCATCAGTGGTGGTCTGATGGCTCTTTAAGGCGCGCGCGGAACGCGACGCGCCGTACGCTCGAATGTGTTTCTGGTCGAACGGGGAGCTACCCATGCTCGCCGTCCGCAGGCCCGCGCTTACGGTGGCCGGAGATCGTCCCGCGATTCCCGACGTCTGGTGTGTCCTTTGCGATGGCTGGGTTGCGAGGAGGCAGCGCTTCGCTGCCTCACGCGTCCCGCCTCCTCCTTAGCTAACATTATGTGTATGTACTTAGATTATTTTAAAATGACTACTGTTTCGTGTTTATTACTCAGTTTCCGATATGTTTTGGCAAGATTTAATAAGACATATTTTATCAAAGCAATTGAATTGCTACGTAAAATAATCAAAGAGAAAGCGTAGTGTGGGGTTACTTTGAAAATTGTTTTATGAAACAAAATTAAAATATAGGCACATCGCCAGCGAACGAAGAACTCCAGGACTCGCATTCGAGAAACACAACAGCATTTCGCCATTTACATTGAATAATTATAATTTTGCAATCCCTGTGTATGTATGTACGTATGTACATCAAAATTTCTCATTAAAATTGTTCACATTGTTCGCAATTAGTGTAAGCGTATTAATTTACAGGAACTAAGAGAGCGTACCATGAACCTAACCTTTGTATTTGCTTCATGAAACGCACAAACCAACTGAAATGTTTAGTTGATGTTTATGTCAATTTTAATGCAGGATCAAAGCACATAAGCTTCATACCGTACATATTCATTAGGATTGTCATTGTGTTTGTTTCAGTTCAATATTTATTCAATAGAACTGAATTATGTGAATTGACTGTCTCGTTAGTCGAGTGGTCGCAAGTGCGACTGCCGGGCAAGGGGTCTCGGGTTGGATTCACGGGTCGGGCAAAGTACTACTGGGTTTTAAAAAAATTCTCAGTGGTAGCACGAAGTCTGGAATTGTGCCCGGTATATGGCAATAGGCTCACCCCCTATTACATAGGACTCATAACATGAATAGTGAAAAGTGGGTGTTACATTGTACAGTGACATTGAGTGCCGTAATGTGCACCTCTGCCTACCCCTTCGGGAGTAAAAGGCGTGATGTTATGTTGTGAATTAAATATTAATGTATGTAGGTAACACCCATTTTTCACTAATTACGTTATGGGTCCCATATGTTAGAGGCTGTACGTGTTTTGTGAGCCAAATTAATAAAAAGTTAATAGCTCACAGAGAAAGGTATTGCCTAAAATCAAATTCATGGTCAGCAACGTAATTACGATACCTCTGTGGGACGTTTTAACACCAATCGACATGTGTTATGTTCAATTATCTATACCGAGGGCGTACAAAATTTAATATATGGGATTTTCATAGATGAAACATGTTTCTATACATTGACTTTTCTACTCTCTTTGTAAGCGAACGCTATATGCTTTTTGGTCCATAATGCTGTATTGCTACTGTTATGGCTCCTTCAATTAAGACATTTCGTGTCGTACGACTCCCGCAAATTTACGTTCTAACCCACTGCCGCGGCGCTGCATTATAACAATTATAACGAGCGACAAAGTAAAAACGAAACGCCTAAATTACAAGTGCTCTTAGTACTATAGAAAGTCTAACAAACTTTTTACGCTAAAATAGGCCGTATATGTTACGAAACTGAACAAACCAGTCAGGGTTTGTTATAAGACATTAGAGGTTTTTCCATGCCTGTTTTTGAATATGATGGATGTGTTGTTAAGGTTCACATACGTAGATACCGTAGACACGTGACCTTGTCTCAGCGAAAGGCTTGCGTCCTCAATTCCCTACTGTGTAGGTAATACGGGCTAATTCCATGATTGGCCTATATTAACTTGCTTTGAAAGGACTGCTAGCTTTCTACTCAACTACTCATTCTATTTGACCTTCTTGAAATAACTGAAGCTTAATTGGAACTGTAATTTAGTAGTTTATTTTCTAAATCACCCATTGTTGACGTAGTAAGAAAATGATAAGGAATTTAGTTTATAAACCCAATGATTTATTTTTTTTATTATTTATTTAACTTTCTGCAACAGGAGTACATAGGATGACTTAATGCCAATCTTTAGGTGATACAGCGATAGCGTGGTCGGTCCAATAAGTTGAATATATAGGTGTATATAATATAGTTTATAAAATGACAGAATACATAGAGGCACCTATATCAATATCATAAACACAGATAAACATGAGTACATATAACGAATTAATAACATAAATATATAAATAAGTACATTTATATACATGTAAATAAATAAGGATACATACGTGCAATCAAATATTCAAACATACAAAGAGATAGGTTATGAAGACTCTGCCAACTGTCCATCCGAGATTCATTTACGAAGTCCAGCCTTGGACGCCTGCTTACTGGCGGACTTCCTGATTTCCAAGGGCAGCCTGTTCCACAGAAGATTATAACTGATTGTATAATAACAAATCCGCTTTTACAACAAATCACACATATCAAGGGGAATCTTGTAGATCCCTATAATTCTCAGTATAAACGCCTAATGCGTACATTCATCGTACATAATTAATTATGCACAAATGGCTTCCTTCCTACAGTATTCACACGCTACACTATCTAGGTATAAGTGCGTGAATTATATTATTATCATTGCGATCAAATTGAGTTAATGTAAATCAATTAACTAATTACCGAAGCAAATGTACGTAGAAATGGGATTGGTTTAGAACAATAGCTTGATCATTTCAGATGTTACTTAATCTAATAAGTTTAACGTCTAATGATTGATGGTCATTCAGACGAAGAAATCATGGTAACTATCATATGACGGTCGGTTTAAATATAGGATGGTAAATTGAGATTCACTCTATTCCTTACCGTTTTTTTAGTTAAATACTAGCGACCTATCTCGGTTTCGCACGATGCAATATGCATGTATTATACATAAAAACTTTCCTTAACAATTACTCTATCTATTAAAAAAATTGCATTAAAATCCGTTGCGTAGTTTTAAAGATCTAAGTATACACAGGGACAGACAGACGGCTGAAAGCGACTTTTTTATACTATGTAGTGATTATATCTATCGTTATGAAACTTTATATAAGATGCATGAAGCAATTCAATCAAATTGATATGGTACACATTAATCTAAAGTAGAATTTGCATTATCATGAATAACGAACAATCAGTACGTTTATGACAATTCGTTTAGTGATTTTATTTGAAAACGAAGTTTAATGCTATTGTAATACGATTCGTAATCAGATTGTTTATTTGTTACAGCGTTGGCCGCCATGCCGCGCTGCTACATGGTAAAGAAATGTGTGCAGCGCCATGAAGGGCCCCCACCGTGCAGCCCGACGGAGGCTAGCGTGGCACCGCCATGCTACAGCCCCGCCGAACACTCAGCCCTAACAGGTAGGACTTAGTTTTAAAGTCAGCGGCCACAAGAACATGGCCCTTATCCACCAAACGAATAAGGTCGCAAATCCAGTACTCAAGGTGAGTGTGGCTCGAAAGGTTTGCGTTGCGTATCTTCTTTTTCACAGGGAGTTAACGCTTTTTATTTTAGTTTTAGACACTACACGCTAGAAACACGACTATATTCGCTGTGAATGTAGCTCGTCACCCTTTATGTAGCGCACACAAAATGTACGAGTACCTAATAGACAATAATCACACTTCTAATCTTAACCATCACATATTAATGTCGTAATTAAACTCTTTATTCGACCATCGTAAATGAATTTACTAACACAAATTTTCTACACACCACTTAATTCAGAACAACAATTTATAGAACGGTCCCATACGTGAACCAAACTAGCGTTCTGCAATGCAGTGTGCAATAACCGATCGCTGACGCGAGTTACATCGCACAATCTTGTCCAATTTGTATGCGAAATTGCGAGGTTCCAGACCAACGCATGATGTTCAACCAACGCTTGTAGGGTGTCTATATCGAATTTACCTATCAAGCTGCGCGCTATAAACAACAGCACGTAAACCTACTCCGGTCTGTACAATTTTCTATTGGATTTTCAAATTTATGTACAAACAATAGAGTTGCAAATCTAATAGAATTATCTCAGTAGGTTGATTCTTTATCGTCAGTATTATTTATTTAGAATTTAACACGAAGATTTTGATTGACTAACAGGTGGGCCATAGTTTCAGTGGCGGTAATAATGTAAGGGCACGACCGGTGTCTGCTTTAAGGCGGTTACCGAGCACATACAACAGGTTGTTTGTCTAACCGTTGTTGTGAACATACTTCATCTACATTGTATAAATGTTACACAAAATCTAATCTTATCAAAGAATTTCACAAAGTATCTACGAACTGAAGAAAAACCTAAGCGAAACTAATTAAGAGAATGATAAAAAAGGATAATAATTTTTTTGTAGTTTATATACGTTAGGGATATTTAAATCAAGTAATCAGGAGATTACATGGTTATTTTATGTTAGGAGAATGTAAACAAAGGTCAAATATTTATAAATGAATTACGCGCATATTGGACTGTGACTGAGCCCCATCATCAAATGATGGCCACATGTATCTGATGACATTGTTCATGAATAATAGTGTGTGCCGATGTCAGAAGAATTAAAGCGGTGAGTTATATTTTCTTTCCTCAAATACAAAGTTTGCCTTGTCGCAACAAGTGGATTCATTTTATGTTCTCAGGTAATATTCATAGGCATTTGTTGGCATGCTTTCAAAAGGTTTCTGATATTATTGTATCACTAATCTTGTCTGTGCTTTTAAATTTAATTATCAGTCCTTACTTCCAAGTATTTAGTATTGTTTTAATGTATTATTCTCATACCTTAAAGTACAATATCAGTGGGGATGTTAGAAAGCTTCTAATGACCGTGACTAGAAATGCTACACGAATTTCAGAATGAACATTTTACGCTAGCAGACATATCTCTAAAATTACCAGTAAACCAATTTCGAACCTTCAATCTTGTGTAACCTCGGGTAATAGGTTTGCAGTGCATGAAAACAAAGCAAGCAAGTATACGTCACTCAAATATATCGAGTTCAAAATGCACAATAAAACGAAGTTCAATAACTAAAACAAGGAAGTATTCTTCTCTGAAAAGCTCTTACAAATAAATAAATATAGATGTTCTTATTTTCCAATGAGTAAATAAAAAATACACTAGGATTCCCTGTGTCGTGAGGCCCAGTCTCTTCCAGTCAGCAAAACATTGTAATGCAAATGAAAAACAAAATGAAAATAACTGATACTTACAATATTCCAATGGTAGACGAAGCATATTGCTATTCTCATTTAACCTTCTTACTACGTTAGATCAGGGTGACTCCTTTTTTGGATTTCCCGTAGTCTGAGGCCTTAGTACGAGTTTTTTTTACGTTTAGAGTAATCGTAATGAGTACGCGTTCGGCCCTCTGATTGGTTGCTTCATTGGCGCCGGCCAATCAGAGTGCCGAACGCGTACTCGTTTTGAATACTTTAAACGTAAATCAAACTCGTACTAAGGCCTTTTGTACTAATTATTATTCCAGCGCAATAAAATATATAGATACATTATAGAGATGCGAATATAAAAGTACAGACTTTATTGTCGAGGGCAACCAGACCTGGATTGCAAAAATATGACGAATGTAATTTGCAATTCCATCGGCTTTAGCCGATACAAAAGAAAATCGATGAGATGAAAATTTATTCAACCAGGACTGAGTAGACAAACGAATCGGTCTGTTTTTTACTGATTATTTCACGCCCATGAGTACAATGGAAAGAATGGACTTAAAAAAACTGGAAAATAGACTTTAAAACTTTAGTAAATACAAACAGATGGGATTTTTTTTATATCATTTCTAGGTATTGTGTATTATGTATGTAGAATATCAAGGGTTGTATGGACATTCTATGTACCGCCTCGGGCCAACGAGCCCTCAGATATAATTGTGATTTTGAACGCAGTAATTACAATGCGTGGGATTGACGTCACGGAAACAATAGGGCTGTCGTATCGACTTGTTCTCACGTAACTGTCAGCCCTAGACACTGACCTCACTTGATGCTAATGACAGGTTTAGGAATATAGCGTTTCAGAATTTGACGTTCGATTGAGATACACCCCATGTTTATACATATTGGACACTACGAATTGATTTAGTAGCTTAGGTATAGTTCCAAAGGGGTAAGTGGTATTACATTGATTAGGTATTGTAAGTATAAGTTAGGTATTATAGTGGTTTAAATTGGTATTTCAATTAAATTATGCAACTTTGACAACGGGTTTACATGACTTGCCTGTGAACTTTTGTCAGATAAACACCAAGGGAAGGACATCGCACACCTAAAAAGCACGGCTCCAACCAATAGTTAACTGGTCTTTTAAATATGACCTTATAATCGTATTTCGTATGATATAATTTCATAACATTCTATAAAAAGCTGTAAGCGCAACCTATAACCTTTTTGCATTGTTTTCAAAGCATAAAACGCCGTGCCGGAGCCTTGCTTGAGCCGTGTCGGACCCGTACTGACCCGTATGATGACCTTAATATTATAATAACTGAAAAATAACGCATGTATCTTTACATTGAATACGGTAAAATGTGATATTACATTTTTTTTAAACAATTTGCTGGACGTAGAGTTTACACTTCACCGGTTGATGTAAATACGTCTAGGTGAGCATTCTGTTTACTTATTCATGCAACGAGGATCTTGTATGTTATTCTCTGAGGGCTAACAGAGGTGTTGCACTCGTGTCCCGGCCAGGGCAGCCCGAGTTCATGTTTATGTACTGACTCATTTCGTTAATTGTTTTATCTTCACGAAACTTTACATTCTGCTAAACTTGGATGTTTGTGCATTCTTGAGTAAGGCGTGGTTTAAAAATAAATAGACTACGTAGTACGTGTAGGTAGCAGCACAACCGTAGCACTTGTAATTTGTTTCGGGAACTATAAACTTTAACCGTCACATAAAGTTTTGTAACTTTTTAAATAAATGAACGAACGCGCCAAGCGTCTGAGAGGCGGCAACAAGTAACTGACGCTAATTGGCTTCAAGCTATGAAATCGTGTTTAAAACTGAAGTACGACGTTAACTAAAAATAACTTGTCAATAACAGATTTCTTGAAGCCCTATCGTCGTCCATTGACATGTTTTCATTTATTTTTAGACTCGAGACTTAAGATGAAATGTGTGAACAAGCTGTGTATAGTCAAAGTACAAAAAAACTTTATGTGTTAGCAAATTTTCACGGATTGAAGTCATAAAGTCTAATGACCTATTTAAAGTGCTCCAAATACTAAAAATGTTACACATTTTCTTGAGATAAGATCGCCATCTCTTAACTTCAATGTCGGTGACATCGCAGATTCGATAAATCAGAAACTATTTGAAATCGAGTTTAAAAAGCGATTCAATTTACACCATCCGCGGCGCTACGGAACGCAATGCGGTGTCAAATGAAATTTATCATAAATTGTAAGTGGCGGGCTCCCGTTTCGTCTCAATACATTCGATCGTTCTCAATAAAATAAGGTTCACTAGATCATTGGAACTTTCCAGTTCTATGTCGCCTTACTTCGAATTTCACTTGTCAATTTCTTCAGAACAATATAACTAGATATAGGTATTAACCTATTTCTTAGAAATTGTCTATATTCCATTATTCATATTAATTGATTTAATGTTATATTCTGCGAATATTTCGTTACAATGAAAAAATTGTTAGATTGATGTATCACAGGACGAATTCCGGTGAATCTGTATTCAAATACTCGAAACTGTATTTTGGTGAAGAGTTATTACTGTTACGTGTTATGTAATACGATATGACGTGTCGGTTTAATACGTAGTGTTGGAGTCATCGACATGGCTAATAACATATGCTGCGATTCGTATTGGTTAATTGAAGTCAGAGTTTACTAATACACCGTATATAAAAATGATTGAATCATACACACAATAGCCTATAAGTGGTCACTGCTCACATCTTCTCACACAGAGAAGCTTGCTCAATGTGGGTTAACGACTTCAAACTTATAGTTAGAAATTATAAACCCAGGTTTCCTCAAGATGTTTTTTTAACTGTTTGTCAGTGGTGTCTAAATAATTTTCAAAAGTACATATAACTTGGAAACAGTCATATTGGTATTGAGGATACATTACAAACAGGCGTCTTATACCTTCGAGCCACCACGACATACTTCGTACAACGATTTAATCATTAGTAATGAATGAAATATACAATATAGTAAGAAGCTCTTTGATTGCATAATCTCACAATGTGGTCTTTCAGCAGAGGTTTCTCAGAACTAAACCGATCGAACATAACATAACATAACGCCTTTTATTCCCGAAGGGATAGTCAAGACTGCACATTACGGCATTTAATGTAACTCCCACTTTTCACTATTT